GCTGATGTTGCTACATGCCTTGCTTCTTGCCTATCTCACACTGCGAATTTTTTCTAAGCTCTATACTAAACATTAAATCTGTTACGAAAAAAGAACTAAACAAAATGAACACAAAACAATCAGCTTTAAAAAAGGACTCATAACTCGAAAAACCAAATGAAAAAAGAATGTTAACAACAAATACTTTTGCACACTCAACCCAGTTCTGTGGAATCAGGATCAACGTTGAGTTTAAGCAAGCGAATGAGCCAATTGGAGTAAAGTGCCATGCAGATTTAAATTTTTCCCACTTGTGACAAATGCAGCTATCGATTTTTTTGCATACTAGCATGCTAGTTAACATTCATGTCAGTCAGCTGTTGGCTCTCATGCTGGCCAATAGAATCTTCCTGCCTATTCATGGCAGCCAGCTATAGGCTCTCACTCTGGCCAGTAGAAAATGGCTGCAAACTATTTGAAAACTGCCGTAGAAGCATGAAAAAATTTATTATTTCCACTATCAATGGGAGTTGGGAAATGCAAAGTTGGTCTTGGCCTTGCAGCTAACTTGGAGCATGTGCATGTAAATTTTGGTGCAAATCTGTAGAAAATTGCAGCCGTGCATTCTTTACACACACACACACATCCTGCCTTTTATATATATATATATATATATATATATGCATATTTATATATATATTATGTATATATGTGTGAAAATATATATAAAATAGGAAAGAACTCATTAGGTAAACAATCCGAAATTCTTTAGTATTTTCGTTTTTATTTTTAAATAACAGTACTCGATACAAAAGTAGAAGGAATCATATTTTTAAATAAATAATTATATATTATATATATATATATATATATATATATATATATATATATATATATATATATATATACAAAATGGAGCCATAAACTGTATTTTCATGTCTCCATGTTGTAAGCTTTAGAGAAATAATTTGTAAAAAAAATTGAAAATTCCTTTCTTACTCCCTAATAATAATAATAATAATAATAACAACAGCAACAATAATAACAACAATGATAATAATAACAGCAACAATAATAATAAAGCAACAGCAATAATAATAACAAGAACAACAATAATAACAACAACAATAATGATGATAATAAAATGAATTCATAGATAGTCTTCAGATGTACACATGAAACAAAAAACTGAAAAAGGTAATTTCCTCAACCTTATTTAAAAAATTTTACCTGAGAAGCCGATCAGGTGCCCCCATTTTATTAAATAATCAGAATAAATGTTACTTTGTTAATGAGAAAAGTTTTCCAGATGATATGGCTACAAGGATATAAACAAATAAAAAATGTTGAGTAGATTCTTCCTAATAGATGTACCATCACGTATAAATCAATTTTATCACAATACAGAAGAGAAAACAATGTATAGCCGTACCTTTTTCAGATGAATTATATTGCTGAAAGTACAAAGGAAAAACTACAAAGAGTTTTAACTATTATTATTATTATTATTATTATTATTATTATTATTAACAACATAGGTATTTTTGCTTTGATAGATATTTCACTGCTGTGGCAATCTTGACAATTATGACACAAAACTACTAATGCTGTTGAGGAAAAATATAGCTTTCCTCCAATTTGACACAGAACAGGATATATTAAGCAGTAGTATTAAATCAAGACAGATATCGGCAAGACAATTACATGTTTTGTTTTGTATTTCTGACTGTTTTATCTAAAAAAAAATTAGGGAAAAATAATGTCCCATATAAAATGAAATTCCCATGTCATCTGGGTAACATTTCCATATAAAAGCTGAGAATTATTTTTCAATAGAAAATGAAATAGCAAAATATTCCTTTCAAAAGATAAACAAAGTATTATGAAACAGGAATTTTTGTTACATACAAAGAAAAGATTGAGGAACCTTTATGCAATATCATTCTTATAACATGGCAGTGAATAGAGGACAATTGCCTCACAGATGAAGAAGAGGTTTGAGGTAACAGAAAAGTAATTCCACAAGAAGATACTGCGAATACATTTGATGGACCATGTGAGCAATCACTACATTTTAACCAATGTGTTCTTCAACATTTCCCATTCTTTTCCCAAAATTCTCATTATTTGACAAGATTATTGGATGAATATCCTCATTTTTCTTGTTTTTATCACTATATTTTGGCCAATGTATTCTTCAGCCTTTCCCATTGTCTAAAATTCTCAGATGAGTCATTATCATTATTCCATATGAAGGTTGAACTAATATCCTCATTCTTGTTGCTTTTATCATTACATTTTGGCTAATGTGTTCTTCATCCATTTCATTGTTTGAACTAGTTTAGCTTATTAGACTTTCTTTGAGGATAAAGATTAGTTTTATTCAATATTTTTTCTGTTTTGTTCTATATTCTGGCATCATTTAGTAAATTTTATAATTCCATCCTCCTGGCACAAAGTTAATATCATTTATTAAAATTACACACTAATATGACAATTGACAAAGTAGAGGTTTTTGCTGAAAAGTTATTTGTTCAATATACTTCCCAAAATCAGTATTCTGATGTTTGGTCATTAAAATAATGAGTTTGGGACATTGGCTAAGGTAAGAACTTTTCAGTGAAAAAATGATCTTTTTGAACTGTTAATTAAAACTAAACACTCTTAATATCTAATGATAAAAACAGAATATCATTTTCAGGTCAATCTAATTGAAACCATGGCAAACAAAGCAAGGAGAATGAAAAAAGGAGAATCATTTAGATTTTAGCAGGCTCTAACAAGATATTGCATTTATCCACAATTTTCTTTGTTTTATATATCTCTCTTTTTATCTATCACTCCTACAATATATCTTATTTCCATCTACTAACCTATACACAAAGGCTAAATAACACAATCTTTGCTTACTAGACAGTGTTTGAAATTTTTGTGAAGAATTATATATTAACACTTTGAGCTCTGACTATCGCTTTACTGGTGATAGAGAAAAATGACGTATCGCCTAGTCACCAGTTGAACAATGGTTGAGAAAAATGACTTAATGCCCAGCCACAAGTTGAATGGTGGGTAAACATTTTTATATTTTTATATCTACTGCGAAATATTACATACCAATTATGTGCAAATTTTGACTCAGGAGCTCAGGCAGAAGGGTTAAAATTGTTCAGGAACTCAGGGTTAAAAAGGGTTAAAATATATATAAAAATACCTCAATGATCATTCAAAATTTGGACAGTGATAGTTGATGCCTAATGAAGAACTTAGAAGCCAAACCAAAAGTAATGTTTCAGGAAAAATTTTTTTTTATTGTTGATCATTTCATTCCAATCAAGGTGACAATGCCACTAAAATAAAAGATCATTTAGATCAGCTGCTTTTAGAAAAGGCATTCATAACCAAGCTAAGTTTTATTCCCCTAATGGCTATGGTAATGAATAAACACGAGTGTTGTTTGTTTGGAGACAAGTGAAAGCAATGATCTTGAATTAAAGACATCCTATTGCCTTGGTTTTCATGTCATTCAGCTGTGACCTCGACATATCAAGAAGAGGGTAATGCTTGCCTGAACATTAGGTTTACAATATTAAGCGTTATAAACAGATATTCTTTCATATAAATCCAACATATCTCTCCATGGATTTTCTTGATTCACCAATCAGATTCCAAAGGATAACAATAACACTTAGCTTTACTTGAAGATCAGCATAAATCCCAATCCAATCTTGATTTACAAAACTATTCTTGCTGCGTGCCATGTACATTCAGGTTGTAGACAATCAGGCATTTCTACAGTTTCATGTCTCAAAAATAGTTGCACCTTTATGAAAATTCCTTTCTCTTTCTAATACTTTTCCTTTTTTTAATCAATTCACCCCAAGTAAAGCAATAAAGCCACTAAAACACAAGGGGTTATTGAGTGTGATAAAATAAGAAAAGAAAAAAAAAGAGTGTGAACAATAAAAGAACAGGAATTAACCTTTGAAATAAAGGTCTGTAAAAATCAAAAATATGCCCTTTGAACCCGTATAAACAAGTTCAGGGTCAGTTTACCTCCCCGAAAGAGGCTCCGCCCTTTGGCGTAGCCTTGTTCAAGTTCCTCCTCGGTCAAAGGCAGAGAGTTCAACCAATCAGCCAGTCGCCCGACTTCGGACTCAACGATATTCAGTCACCCTCCCACGAGGGCATCATGTGGCACAAAGCCTTTTTAACGTGGGATCTCCGAGCCCATGGGCTCGACCAAAAACATGCCCATTAAACCCGTATAAATGGGTTCAGGGTCGGTTTACCTCCCAGAAAGAGACTCCACCCTTTGGCGTAGCCTCCTTCGGGTTCCACACTGCCCGAAGACAGAGAGTTCAACCGATCAGCCAGACATCCAACTTCGGACTGAACTCCCTGCTTCCTCTTGAGGCGCAGTATTTATTACGTATGGAATAGTCCATTATGTTATTATGGGTAAGTTCCCATAACAATATAAGAATCACATTAATATTTTGGTCTCATTTAGAGCAAAAGTCTGTAAAAATTTAAAATATTTTTAGTACACTCAAATAATATTAAAATAATAATGGAAACATTTTTTTAATGCCCTGTTTTTTTCTGGATATAGGTGACACAGCTCCCCACCATTTCCTTTATTATCTGGGAATTGTCATATATTTTTATGAAATATAATTGAGTGGTTTCCTCTGACCTTCTCCATGATTTGGAATTGAGAGTTTTCATAAAACAATGTGGATATGAAATTTAGATTAAATGTCTCTGAAAAATAAAAATACTTTTGATACATTGATTGATTGTTTCATTTTCTATGGATTATCAACCATTTGCAGGTTATTCAAATATTTTCAAATTTAAAAAACTTTAAACACACATTCATGCTTACAGGATCTGGTAATCCCAAATGGTCACTCATCTAGGTATTGACCAGGCTCAACTTTGCTTAACTTTAGTGATTGTACAAGAACTAATGTTTCAACGTGATATGGCCATAAGCCATACTACCCACACATCCAAGTTTACAGTACTTGTTATTCCCAAATGGTTACCCATCTAAGTAATGACCAAGCTCAACATTGCTTAACTTTGGTGATCATACAGGAACCAATGTTTCAACATGATGTGGCCATAAGCCATTTTTGATGTAGCCCCATATATTTAAGAATATTTTCAAAATACAAATGCTTTGAATCATGAAGATTTTCAGTGTAATTTTTAACTTGCAAGTGAATCAAGCAGAAGGTCAAAGGGCATCAGCGACATAAAAAAGTTCAGCTGAAGGAGTGTTCAGATGAACTATGAGAATAATTAGACATACAGATTCACAAACATTAAGTTGAAAAATAGATCATCATGAACCCTTGAAAGAAAATATAATTCATCAACTTTTCCTAACAGCAGACAACCATGGGAAAAAATTTGTGACAAAGAAAAAAGTTTTAAATGTTGGCAGCATTCTACAAATACACTGCAGAGTGATAGATAGGAAGAGTCTGACCATTGGCCTGAACCATGAAAGATTTTGCCAGGAAAGAGAGAAGGACTCAAGATTTAATCATCAGGAGGCAGAAGAAATATGCAGGATAAAAAAGTGAGAATGGCACGGAACCTGTAGTCACTGAGCATATAAAAGAGGAAGAAGAGAAAAGGATAAAAGAGAAATAAGAGAAAAGAGACAGAAAGTAAAAGGGGAAAAAAATAAAGGAGGACAAAAAAGGAATAGAAAAAAAAAAAAAAAGAAAGAAGAGGAAAAGAAAAAGATATTAGAATTAAAGAGGAAATGAAAGAAAAAAGAAAAGAAAGATTAAGAGGTAAAAGAAAGAAAAGAAAGAAAGGAAAAAGAAAACAAAAAAAGCAGAAAAGGAAGAAAAATGGAAAATATAAAATATATAGGAAAAAAGGAAAAAGAATGAAAGAAAATAAATAAAGAAAGAAGACAAGAATAAAAAAGAAAGAAAAGAGGGAAAGAAAAAAGAGAAAATATAAAAGAAAGAAGACAAGAATAGAAAAAGAAAGAAAAATGGGAAAGAAAAGGAGAAAAAGCAAGAAAGAGAAATTATTGTAGTTATTCTTGTTTTCATTTTTATTTTCATTAAGGTGATGGATGAGAAATATACAAAAAATATTTGGAACCAACCAAAACATATAAGACCAATGATCAGCATGTATAACTTAAGAAGTGTGTGTGTGCATTTATTCTTATATATATATATATATATATATATATATATATATATATATATATCCAAGTATAGGATTGGTGTATACAGAATAAATTCTAATAACCAACAAATACTATTCTTAAAAGAGTGCTCAATAGAGCAAATCAACAATTCGCCCTTGCATGGAATATTGCTGCCATATATGGTCTGGAGCCCCCTCTGTTTGCCTCGGGGTTCTTGATAGGCTCCAGAGGCGGATATGCAATATAATTGGCCCTGTTCTGGCATCTCGTCTAGAGTCACTCTCTCACAGACGCGCCATCGCCTCTCTCTGTCTGTTTCTCCGAGGAGCTGCATTCGCTGGTTCCCATACTTCAAGAGTTCAAGCACCCTACGAGGCTGGCATCCCACTCTCACCCTTTCACTGTTGAAACTCCTAAATGTGGCCGTCTCTTCTACTCTAATAGCTTCATGTCTCGCACATTTCGCCTGTGGAACTCCCTTCCCTATTCTAGTTTCCCTGAGAGCTATAATCTCCAGCTATTCAAATGTAATGTCAATTGACATCTCCAGTTGCCTTGATCTATCCACTATCCTTCTCCTCCTCTTTTCCTTTATCACTCCTATCTGATCTTGCTCCAAATTTTCTGTAACCCCTTGAGTCCTAGTGGCTTCTCATCTTGCTTGGGGTGAAATGCTTAAAAAAAATATATATATATATATATATAATTATTTATTTGAAAATTATAACATAAGTATGTTATAAAATTACTACAAAAATAGCCATTTTATTTCAACACTTCTGGTGTCTTATCAAGTGATGGTGTTGAATGTAGAACCAAAGTGGAAAGATTCTACTTTCAACACCATCACTTGAGAAGACATCAGAAGTGTTGAAACAAAATGGCTATTTTGTAGTGATTTTATAACAGATTTATGTTCTAATTTTCAAATAAATAACTATATATATATATATATATATATATATATATATATATATATATATATATTATAAAAATATATATATATTCTATATTTATAGGTTTAGGCGCTCAATATCTGGGTTCAGTTTGAAATTCCAACAAATATCACCTGAAGAAGACTGAAGGATATAACAGCCGAAACATTATGAATGTGAAAATAAAGATGAGAACAACAGTCCAAACAATGGTAAATAATGTAAATAGTTACAATGCCTCATCTCAGAAATATAGATAGATGATCAAGGATGAGTGTATGAAAATATAAAAATGGATATTGAGGTGAACATACCTGTTTCATACCTAAACACAATCTTCTTCATGCCATATATATATATATATATATATAATCGACTCTCCCGTCGAGATTCGACGTATGAGGGTTAAGCAGATCAGTTTCCAGGAAACCAACAGTCCGACACCAGCACATGAGATTTGATTATAGTGGTGAAGGCCTTGTGCAGGACCATTCACACTTTTTGAAGGGACGAATACAGAGACCTGGTGCACCGAATCCCACAAGGTTCCGAAACGACACTCCGCAGGTTTTGAATTCAGAGTTGTCCTTCTCCTAGACCAGTTGCCATCCAAGACTATAGAACCCAGTCTATCCTGCTATTTTACTCATAGCAGGAGGAAGAGGATTCATACCTTTCCCAAGGGTATTAGCACGTAAGTGAATGTAATGGATTCAACTGGAATTTGAACTCGGCTCTGTGATTCCACAATCCAAGCCGCTATCCATTACTCCACCGTGCCTCCTATATATATATATATATATATATATATATATATATATATATATTTCAAGTTTGGAAGTAAAGTCTGATGATTCGCAGTCCTTTTAAAAGGGCTGTGGTGAAATAATTTATTACATGGAACTTTAAAGTCATCTGTTTGCTCTGGATTTACATTGAGCTCTCTGGATTATATCCTCCTTAGGTTTACCCATACGGATTACCTAGTTTTTTCGTAAACTAAATATATATATATATTTAAAAGAAGAATCTGCAATATTATTGGTCCTGAAATGTCATCTGTGGCTTTTCTATAAATACTTTTATGGTAATTTTTCTGATGTACTTTTCTCTATGGTACCTAGACTTTATGAATTTAAATGCAGAACTGGACTGATGTAAAGGTCTCACCAATTTGCAGTTGAGTTTGTTAGATGTAATCGTCAGTTCTTTTCTTGCACTTCTTGCTTATGTTACTCTTTCCTGTCTCCTGTCTTCTTGCTTTCCTGCCATTTTTGATCTTCAAAAATCTACTGTCTTTTGATTCCTCTTCTTTTATTGTCCTTGTTCCCTAGTTTTTTTCCTGTTCTTTTATTTTTTCATTCTCAATAACCATTTGTGTCTTAGTGGCTTTTATAGTCCTGAAGGGTCACAGCACATTTTTTTTAATCATTTCACCCAAAGCAAGGCATTTATTGCCTTGCTTTGGGTGAAATGATTATTACTATGCAAGTGAATATTGAGTGTGAAAAAGAAAAATACATTATTAAGTAGAGAGAACAATAAAAGAACAGGAATTAAGGAGACAAAAGACAATGATTGAAATTGAATTTAAATTTTTGAAAATAAAAAAAATTCATAGAAGAATCTGCAATGTTATTGGTTCTGACCTGTCATCTCTGCATCAGTAACTTTTCCACTGCTGTAATATAGCATCTCTGTATCTTTTCTATAAATATTCTGATGATAATTATTCTGAGCTTTCCTCTTTGGTACCAAGACTTTATGAAATACTAGATTGGCAGCTAGGTCTCATTATTTTATATTTGAAATGTTTAGATGTAACTGTAAGTTCTATCTTTTTTTCTTATCCTTCTCACTTGTGGAGGTCTCTTCCATCTCTATGCTTTCCAGCCATCTTTGAATTTCAAAGATTCAAAGATAATGTCAATTGTTATCCACTGTCTTCTTGATTCTTCTTCTTCTTCTATTGTTGTCATTCCTTAATAATGTTTCTCTTTTTTCACACTCAATAACTTTGTGTCTTAGTGTCTTTACTGTCTTGCATGGGGTGAAATGATAAACAAAAAAAATATGAAGTTTCACACAACTGAAATACAAGCAGCCCTGTGCATTTAATATCATATTTTAACAGGAGAAAATGTCAAATACAATATTTTTAAAATACAAGAATTTAATCTAGAACTGGAATAGTTCATTTAAAATCACTTGATTTCAGAAAATCTTTTAAAACACTGTTGAGAAACGAGTGGTGAAAAAATTGGGTTATTTTCATTGATTAGTTACAAAAATCAATATTGTTATTGTTTTGGGTAAATATTACATATAATAGCCCAATTTTGCCAGTAATGCTTGTATTAATTCTCAAACAATGACAAACAATTTCTTTCTTATTTCTAATGCATTTCACTAATTAACCAAGAATTTACTTCATATATATAATAAATTTGTCCTATCTGTAATGATTGTATTTTGTGTGTCATGAAAATGTACTACTTTCCCCTTTTCAATACACTGAATAGAAAAATCATTAGCTATGTATTTACATCATATTTATATTAACTCTGTTTTATCAGTAATGCTTACATTAATGCCTGACCAATGATAATCCCTTTCTTGCAGCTTTTCAATGAATTCCTATAGCAAAAGCATTAGCAATGCATTTACATTCTTCATATATTATTCCTATGCTATCAAAAATGCTTACATTAATTCCTGAACATTGTCAATCTTCTTTTTCTCATATTGAATGTATTTTATAATAAAAATATGAACAAGGCATTTACATTACATATTTAATAACACTTTACTAACAGTAACTCTTGCATTAATTCCTGACAACTGACAATCTTTTCCTCCCTGCTTTTCAATTTTTTCCTATAACAAAATCATTAGCATTGCATTTACATTATACATATATAAGCCATATACTATCAGTAATGCTTCCATCAATTCCTGAGCACTGGCAATATTAACATCATTATATATATATTGTCATTTGCAGATAGTAC